TTATTAAAATAGTAGCTTATTAATCTTACTCTAATTTACATTGTATTATAAAAATATGATATTTGTATTGTTAAATCAATAAAATTTTCGACATTTTTATTTATTTAAAAGAATAGAAAATTTTTTTAATATTTTGCAGAAAAACAGCAAATATAAATAATATTCAAAACTAATCAAAAGTAATTTACTCGTATTTTTTTATCCATCGAAAATTATTGCTGTATGAAAGTATGAAATTTTCAGCACTACTCGATCCTTGCATTTATGAATTAACTCTGATTGCAAGCAGTCATGAATTCGGACTAAGTTCTAAAATAGCAGTACAAGTAAATTTTTCTTAAAGTTTAAAAAAGTTAAAAGTTCATAGCCAAATATTATTCATTCATTTAATAAAATGTTAATTTGAAATGCCTAAATTTTAATTTAAAAGGTTTAACGATTATCTAAGAATAATAATTTGATAAATAAGCATGAAATTTGAAGAAATATTAATGAAATGTTGAAAATTGACGCCATAAAACTAATATTAATTCAGAAGATTCATCTAATTTTTTTGCAACTAAATTATTAAATTTTATTTATTAGTTATGATCAAAATATTTTAAAATGTTATTAAATAAAGTTTTTTTTAAAAACATTTATTATACTATAGAAATTGGCAAGCTGAAAAAGTTGGTAGTGAAATCCTGATAGAATGACAATTTCAAATATTTTTCAAAAGCTTCAAAGTAATAAAACTGGCATTTTAAATAGTATTTTAATATGATTATTTGGTTTAATTACGCATTTAAAAAAATTTTCTGACATAATTAGTTGAATTTAAACTCTGAAAATTGCTCTTGCCCTACAATCATATTTGGATTCCTTGAGGGATTTTAATTTTAATTTAAGTTTATTGCTTATTTATATTTACTAATTACTTTTTAGATTTTTTCTAAAAAAGAGTATTTTGTCATAAATTTTTATTACTGACTTCTTAAGACATTTGAATGTTTGCAAAAAAGAATCCAATTTTATCATTATCAAATAAATTGCAATGATTTAATAGAATTTAAAATTTTTTGAATTAAATTTTGTAAAATTTTGAATTCTGTTAAATTAAGTAAACATTTTTCAACAGGTCGTTAATCGAGCAAGCGATGAAAGTGATGAGGATATTATTTTAATTGATAAGAACGCTAAAATAAAATGGAGCGTACGCAATGATTTAATACAATTTCCAATTTTATCATTATCAAATAAATTGCAGTTAAAATATACGCGAACATATGGAAAGCCATCGGTTATTATTCTGGTGCTTTTTTTGGATGGTAGGTTATTTTTAGAAGACTGATTAAAAAGTTATAATGAGCTTTTATCAACATTCAGTAACTATCGTATACTGATCAAAGTTTGGTAAGATTTTTCATAGTTTACTAATTAATATTACTTGTTGAAAACCATCATTATTTTTTAACTAAATTAAATTTATTTATGGGCCTCAATCATGAAATAGTTTTATGGATGTTATGATAGTGATAATAATGATTACTTTATTCTTTAGTAATCTAATAATGTATTTTACACTTTTATTAGCTTTATTGTAATTTCAATAATTATAGTTTCGTTGGATATTTGAAACCTCAAGAAGCAATCTTTCTTTGATTCATTTTTATTATTTTTATTTTTATAATTTCTAGTATTAATAATTATTACAGTATAGTTATCACAGAATCATGATATTATGCAATTAATAATTATTACAGTAAAACAATCATACTCCATAATAATATTAATTATTATTATTATCATATTAATATGCAAACGTGATGATTTAAATGATGATTATGCTGTTATCAGTTGCTTATTAACATTAATTACTACTGTGAGAATCACAATATTTGCATGTTGTATTATTCACTATTATTCATGCCTAAGATATTGCAATTATTTCCTATCAGAAAAAACCTCCATATGACATAATACCTGAATACCATATCATCTAATTTCTTCCGTTTAATTTTGAAAATAAATCTTATCTTTTCAGCTCAAGAATATCTTGATCGGTTTGTGCATATTTATCAGTCAGAGATGATCGAAAATCAATATGCTATCTCATCCGTTCATTATTCAAATTGGACTTCTGAAAATGGCGATTACTTGAATCGTTGGGCTATAGAAAAGCTTTGGTTTCAGAAAGTTAATCTTACTGATAATTCCAAAGCTATTTTATGGATTCATTCACCTCAATTTATTGCTTATGATCAAATTCCTATTGCTAAAGTATGAATAATACTCATTATTAATTATTACCTCTAATTAATCATTTATTCTTTTAACTTTGTGCACTATCACGTCAAATTGAGAATTCATTTTTTCATTTTATGCTCAACAAATTATACGAATATAATTTCAAACATTTTTAAATTCTACTTGCATAATTTCAATACAAATTAGAATGATCATAAAATTCAATAATGTCATATTAATTAATTCTGGCAACTTTATTGAGCTTAAAAATTTGACTTATACTTTGTGAAGTATATTTGTGTGAGAATCTCCTATGAATTCATATAGAAATAATAAAAATAAGCAGATTAGTAATCAATTATGTATTTATTACAGATTAGTTATCATATAGATAACTGCTCCATTGTTAACAACTCTGGATTAGTGATCGTATCACATCAAGATCTTTATCGTAGTGCCAATATTTTCCAGTGGAATTTTTGGTCTAATACTTTTGCAAAAAATTACGATAGTTCTATTGCGGTACATTTACTATATCCAGTCGATTTATGGACATCACAAACTCATTCTTTCAAAGTATTCTTAGTTTCTATTCTTTACTGTTCTGTATAATTTGGATTAGTAATCATTTTAATGAGTTATATTCCAAATGGAATATATTTGAGCTTTTCAATTACAGAACACTGTTAAATATTCATAAAATTTTGTGCAAAATATTTTAATAATAATAATAATAATAATGCATTTTTTTATTTGTTTGACCCAATTTAATTCTTTTATTTCGAATTTTCAG